GATCGCATATAAGTTAGCTACAATGTGGAGAATAATATGGAGAGAATTCTAGTATTAACGAGATTTCAGAACCGAATAGATAATTGGGTAATTTAGTTTATTATTCGGTAGTGAAGATTGTGAGAGAGGACCGAAGTGTAAGCAAGGGAGAGGAAACAGAGATAATAAGCAAGATTGATTAATTTAGTCATCTGAGATGGTAATAATAAAAACTAGCAGGTCTCATGCATCAGGCACAGCTTGTCTATGGGAGAGTTAGTAATCCGTATAAGAGTGCGTGTTTATCAATTCTCTTCTTAGAGCTAAGCGGGCTACAGTAGCATCGGCTGTGAGAGCATTTCAAGTTGCAACAACTCTTAATGAGAAAACATGTGCAAGAACCTGAGTATTCGCTCCTTGATGCTCAATTTTTAGAGAATTGCTTTGAGCGGAGTGGTGTCGATGCATCAGTAAGATGCTCATGTTAAGACGTTTGGAGTGCTGAATATGTTGTACCCTGTAAGCAGATCACCTCTGATTCTCCTTTAACTCAGAAAGAATGATCATGAATGCTGGAGTCTATCTTCGTAAGTTTTATTTTTCAATCCTATCACTCATTTCATCGCTTATCTGTGCACTCGATCCAATAGATTTATATCTCTTATGAGGAGCCGGGGTGCGACGAAGTTCTAAACCTAAAAATGTGGGCGTGCATATGCTTTAAACAACGTTAAAACTAATTTTGGAGCGATAGCACCATATTGTCTTCGCATAGATTGAAGAGTTGCATTTGACTTGACTGAGTCGCCAATATTGTTCGAGCTGATGTGTAAGCCTTTAGTGGTTATTAAACCGACGTCAAGCTCTAGAGGGATATTTGAGAGCGGACTTCCATTCATGGTGTACATGACATGACATTACAACTGGGTTGGTTATAAACTGTTTTGCACTGCCTTTTCCTCAGTGGATGTAAGGTCCTTTTGAAGCTTAGTCGAATCGATTTCGCTCCCAATGGACCTCCAGATCATTGCATCATCTGAGTTGATCAATGCTTCTGAGCTGATTGTGTCTAACAGGTCGTTAATAAATATCAGGAAGAAAAGTGGACCTAAGATGGTCCCCTGTGAAACTCCCGATTTCGGGACTGGCCAACTCGCATGCACTCTATTTGCCTCGGTACGAAACTTTCTATTCTCAAGGTAGTTTCTGAGTCAAGATGCTAGTGGGTCAGTGAAGCCCATTTCCTCAACCTTCGCGACTAATCGTGTGTAGAGTACTATGTCGAATGCTTTTTCAAAGTCTAGAAATATCTTATGCACCTGTATTTTTCGGTCTCAGTGAGGCTGTTCAGCTGTCCGATGCTGTGAGAAGATCGGATGCGCACGACCAGCCTTTCCGAAACCCATGTTTGGCTTCATGGAGCATTTTATTCATACCATATACTCCCTCATCTGTTCGTTCACCAGCCCTTCCATCACCTTTGATAGTATTGGTAGAAATGCGACTGGTCTGCAACAGGATGGGTTCTTCCTATCTCCCCCTTTGAAGAATGTTTCCATTCAGGTGTGAGTTGTGTTACCCCAGTGAATGCCTGAACAAGTCACATATCGGTGAGCAGAGGACTTCTGTACATTGTTTCAAGACAATGAGGCGAATATTGTCATAAAATGATGACTTTCCTGCACGTAATGATTTTACTTTCCATAGACTAAGTCAGGGGTAATAAGGATTTTCCCTAAGCCGTCAGCTAGCACTGGGTCTGGGTAGTATATTGAATATGTGGATGCCTGTTTTAACTGATTAGTAAAGTTTGTGTTGAAGATCCCGTCCATCTTTAGGTTGGTGAGGTCTTCCCATTCGGTCCTTTGAGAGAACATATCTCCTGATTCGTAGGTTTCCTTTTCGTCATGAACCTAAACAGATGCCAAGGGTTTGCCTTTATCTGAAACGTCTACTATCGCTTCGAACTTTGGCATTGCATCTTTTTCTCAATGTTAAGTAAGAGCTACGGTCGGAATCCTTCAAGGAGACCTTGCACTTGTGCCAGATTCTCCTTTTCGTTTGTAACAAGCGTTCAGTTCCGTGCCTAACCCATGTTCTTCTATTTCCGGGTGTGTGGTGCGACTGCGGTACATTGTTTAGGACAGCATTCTGGATGAAGTCTCTTACTGTTTGCCAGTGATCATCTGCTGTCAGTCTCCGCAATTTCTGTGTCCACGGGGCATGTAGAAGATTCGTTTTCATTCGCCCTAGTAAAGCGAATATGGGGCTCGTATTAATGTGTCCTAAGTGTTTCGTCTATAACCAAGCCAACTCGTCTTCGGAAACAACTTGTGGGAGTTGTACCATGTTGGCTGAGATTTAGAGATGGGGTGTTCACATATCCAGCTACAAATATTTAACTAAACCCAAGAAGTGGCAGTTGCAGTACTGCCTCAGTCAGTTTATCTTTCTGTGTCTTAGTAACTAAGGCGGCCTGGTAAATCCTTTTAATCGACCGTTTCGAGCCACTTTTGGGGAAACAACACCAACATGATTGTGTCACCTCGGATCCATCTCAGGGCGTATATTCCTGACTTCTAATAGCTTACCCCTTGATCCTCTCACATTGCTGTCGAGGCACTTGGTGGCTTATCTCATCACCTGGTGCACCTCTGTAACAACAGCCGTTGTCGAGTTTTCAAACAACTTCTTTAAACCGAGCTGATCAGCTCTGTAGAAACTGGCCTCTTCAGGCTTTTCGCCTGTGCAGCGCGCTCGATCGGCGAGACTATTATCTACGTTTCTTGTGCCGGAGGTTGTAAATTGAGGTTAACTGACAATTTTGTAAGTGTATTTCGTCCTACCTGTTGTTGTCTCACAGATCTAGGTCGGTTTTCGAAACACGTAATGTGGCAAGAGAGGTCGTTCCAAGAGTTATATCAAGCCTCAACTAGGTCTTCCTGATTCCTGAATTTCACAGTCATCAGACGTGGTGACTTAATGAACGTGAGGTTTGACGGGCGAGACAGTCTAGAATTGCAAATAGCCATCGTGGTGTGAAGGTGCCGGCTAAACGACAGCCGTGGCCACTGTTGCACATCATACACGTGAGCTTCATTCAAGCCAGCCAGTTTGGGCAGGCCCTGAACTTTCATACTGGTCTGCTCTTGGGTGCCTTGTGATGTCCTGGCTGCTGCTCGTAATGACCACAGTTCATCATGTCTGATGCGGATCGCGGACGAGAGTTTGACCAAGCGTCTCGGGGATGAGAGGAGGATGTCTTCGGCAAGCTGTGCTGAGTCGAGTGTTACCCTCATCGGAGAGAATTTCCACTTCGAGGCGTTCTGGCCTTTAAAAAGACGGCATATTTTTACGGGGTATTGCACATTCCGAGGATAGCTCAGTACTAATCATACTGTTCTTTATCAAAGGCAGCCCTACCTTCTAGTAAGTTTCCCCCCGACACTGGAAAATTAAATGAAATGAGTGTAATTAGGCTATCGTCCCTGTTTCTGGTTGCTAACCTTTTGAGAGTTGAGGTGTTGCCGTTCCCGTTTTTCACAATCATCCGCTGTTCGGTATTGTTGACAGATACTGGGAACTTAACAACAACCAGCAGTTTTGTCGGTGTGTTGGTTTGGGTTTTGGCTGCTTTGTTCGCCTGTTTCACTGGTTTAGTTCCTGGCGATTCGGATTCATCCATCGGGCCATTTAAGCTGATCTTGGGTGGGACTTTCGGCTTCGCTATTGCCTCAGTTACTCTGCACCGTGGATAGATATACCAAAACCACGGATAGGGGTGACATAGCATAGCAACCCATAATACTCCCTAGGTAATGTAGTGTGACCGTGACAAAGGATCCATGTACTAGAGAAATTGAATTCAAACACAGAGTCACTGATTTTTACTGGCATTGAGCAGGCGATACAGTCATCCTTCTGCGATTCCTGGTCGACAGGCCGTGTCTACTGAGCCTTGAGACGCCTATTCCTCCTATTCTTATTTTGCCTACTGATCCTTTTAGGAGTAGGAATCGAAGTGTCATCTTGGTTTACCGGTTGGAAACCCAGTGGATGTATTTGCATCGATTGATCCGAATTCCGATCACGACTCTGAGAAATGCTGTCGAGTGATGGTTTCAGCTTTTTCACAACCCCGTCACCTAAGACTGGGATTTTCGACTCACTAGCGACCCCAAGATTCATATCGCTACAGGTTTTCCTGGTCGTTATAGTGTAAGATGTTGTAACAACCTTATTACTCGACATGATATAAAAGAGATTTAGAGATGAATAATGAGTTAGCTGGAAAAGGAAAATACGCGAAACAGGAGTTTTGGGAGGAGTAACTTACTGGTATATAAATATAACTACCAGGAATAGAACCTGAAAGTACTCCAAAATTCCAACTAACCTCTAATTGTTCTCATAAGTAACTTCGCGTGGATCCGGTAACTTTTCCACAAGTTCCGTGTTTGCGAGTGAATGTGTGCATGTTGCCGAAGCAACAAGGAAGAGAGCAGTTGATCGAGACAGCTAGATCTACCTCACAGGGGTTCTGACATGGAATGATTCCGTTTGTTCAAATTTGTACTCAGGTTGTCAACTAGTTTATGGGGAGTACTTTTATATTTTCGGGAGTGATTAAATACTTCAATCTGGTGTCCGAAACTGGATTGTTTCCTGTAAATGGGCGGAAGACGAGGCCAAGTTGATTTCTAAGAGAACTCTTTGTCGATTGAGGTAGTCTTAGAATCTCTTGGAAACGTTTTCAACAGAAGAAATCAAGTTGATTTTAGTCAAATTAGGATAACTTTAGACTTTACGACACTTTTTTTCATATCACCCTTCTTATCATTATTTTTTCGTTTTTTTCATTTTCTGTGTAAATCCAAACCAATTACTTAGTCATAATTATAAACAAGCCTTCTATGAAACTAAGATTTCAGGCATTGAGGACTCAATTAATCATGTTAAGAAAAGTTTTATTTTTTAGTTTAGTTTGTGCGTTCTAAAATAATTGTTTTCATGGTCGCGAACTTTTTCAAAAAACAGACTTAGTTTTCGATTGATGGCTTATTGTTCCAACATCGTTATTTCAAGAGAGGGAATAAACGTTCATGATGCACTTTATGGCGTCCAAAGTCCAAAGGATGTTCTTTTTATATAAAAAGAACAGAGAAAACAAGAGTAATGAAGATTCTACGACAAATAATGATGTGAAAAATATCCCTTTTGATAAGAAGAAATTTGATTTGAAGAAGGTTGAACTGCTACGTACTGTAGGTAGGATTTATTTTCTTTGTTTGAAAATTTGAAAATATTTTCGTTTATGATTTTGAGAACCTCAGTATTTTTAAGTACGTATGAAGAAAATATGTATATTTCCAAATGTTCATTACATTAAAGATTACTTTACAATCTTCTTCACAGTTTAAAAAGGCAGTTTTCGGCATGCTTGAGTTTGCTCGAAGTCTTTATTTTGACCCTAATAACAACAAACCATATTGAGGGGAATGAGCCAAATGCTAGTGCTTTGGGATCTTAGTTGTTTTGTAGATAAATACTCTTAGATACGTTTGAACATATTCAGCGTATTATAATTTGATAGAAAATACATTCAGTGGTTCGTATGAACACGGACAGACGACATCCTATTACTCTCAGACTCGAGATATATATCGAGTTTTTTCGAAGTAACCAGACGAAGGTTCAACCGATAAACGATCTGTAGGCAAATCCAGTAATTTAAGGCCTGCATATTTTAGTTAGTATAATTTCGTACTCTACCTTTAAGTGTTGTAACGTGTTGAAGCACATGCTTGGTCTATTAGGATGAGATTTATAAAGAGTTTGACATATCACGATCATATTACTTCTAATTCTGTTGTATATCATGGATTTTAAATTCACTGATTCTAAAATGAACGACTACCGAGATTTTTTTGGCTGAATTATGTTTTTCACTGTTCTCAAAATTTATTCTAGAAGAACAATCTCCTGCTTTAGTTAAGAATGGAATTTCAGTTCTACTTTATCAAGGAAGTTCTGTGTTATTGTAGATACCAGGAGTTTGCTTCAAAAATAGGTCTACAAAATGAGTTACTTCTGTTTATTACCACAAAGAGCTCTGCTTATTGATAATTGAATGAGAACGTCGGTAGCCGGCTAGTAGGCAATTGGTTTCTTAATTTCGATTAGATATCTATTGTTTTTGCATGATAATCTATCTGGTTTATCATCATATGACATCCTTGAAATTTCTGGACCAAACTTATTTATGGTTCTTTGAACGTATTTCATTAGCTCACTGATTCTTTGTGAACCAAAGCCGATCGCTTTTATCTGATACTCGTGTTAAAGGCAGGTGAATATTGTATAGTGTCAAGAATGTTATCAAAAATAGATGATTGAATGCTATATATACATAATAAATGATTCTAAAATCTTCAGTAGTTACAAATATAAAGTGGCTTAAATATTCTGACTGAAAGTAAACACTCATATCACTCTGTGCATGGACGGAACTTAATTAATTTTACTTTCACCGGTTATCCCAAATGTAGCATAGGCCTCCGACGAGCAATGTCCAACCTTTTCTGTCCCAGGCCTTCCTTACAAGTTTTGTTCAATATCTGTTTATTCTTACCAAATCTGTTACCACTTCTTAGCGTAATGTGTTCTTTAGTCTTCTCCTATTCCTTTGGCCTCGAGGATTTTAAGTGATCGCGTGTCTTTTGACGCAGTTTGGTGTTTTCATCAATATGTGTCTTATCCTTTTTCAGTGCTTTTTACTGATTTATCCCTCCGCCGGAAACTGGTATTTTCTTTTTCACAGTAGGTTGTTACTGATGGTTTCTGGCCAACGGATACTCATTACCTTGCGTAGACAGCTGTTTATAAATACCTGTTTCTTTCGAATGATGGCTTTCATGGTTATTCAAGTTTCCACTCCATATATTAGAAGTGTCTTGACATTTGTATTGAAAATTTTGGTTTTTATTTTGGTTGATTGTTGTTTGCGATTCCAGAAGTTCGTCATGTGTATAAATGCTGTCCTTGCTCTTCCAATCCGCGCCTTCACATTTGCACCAGATCCACCTTGATTGTCAATGGTGCTGCCCAGATATGTAAATGCATTTCCACCAAGTGTGACTTGGTTGGTACATGTTATGCTGTATCGTAGAATCTTGCTTTGTACTTTGTGTATTTTTAGAGCTGCTGTTGCTGAGGCTGCAACTGCCCACTACATTCCGTGCTTCCTTCCGAATGTCTGCATCTTCATAATCCATTCGAGAAGAAAGAGAAAGGGTGAGAGTACCGGTCTTCACCTCGAACGAGTTTGTGAGCTGTGCTTTGTGTACAAATTGTAGTTTAACCTATTATAGGATTTCTGTATGATGTTGACTGTTTTATCAGATACGCCGAAACGTCGGAAAAGCCTCCATAGTGTTTTCCTGTCCACGCTATCAAACGCTTTCTCGTAGTCCATGAAGTGGATGTAGTGTGTTGAGTTCCATTCAACTGATTGTTCCGCAATGATCCGTAAAGCTGCAAATTGGTCAGTGCACAATCGATCCTTACGAAATCCAGCCTGCTGATCTTGAAATTCGGCGTCTACGAAGTCCCTAATTCCGTTTAACCCTGTTAAAGAACTTGCTTATATTGAGTTTGGAGCGATACCTCTGTAGTTCGCACACTTGCTGAAATCTTTTGAACAATCGGAAAATTAAATTATGTATCATTTGTTTATCTCTCTCCTATAAGCTTATTCATTTTATTTTTTTGAAGATATTAATTATACGGTAAGCGAGTTAGCTATTTTCTCCGAACGTTTAAGAATTTCTACGCTGATGACAAAAGTCTAGTAATATCACCTACATGCAAGAAGAATAATGTTGATCAAAGATCACACGCTGGACCACTCTGAAAAGAACTGTTCTCAAGTGAGGAACAGGTCCCTAATTTAGGGCGAAAACACTTTGTGAAAAACCACTATTTTTAAAACATGTTGAATTAAGTTTTTTTCTAGGCTACGTTCAACATAACTATGAACGTCGAAATTCATCATTCTGTTTTCAGCCTTTTATTTTCTTTTGAAAAAATACACAAATAACAACTAAATTTTAACAGCTTTACAGGATTTGTTATACATTTAAAAATGGACCTAACCACTCGACCTAAAGTCAATAGCTGGGGAAGTAAAGTTCCACAGTGAAATGATTTCCCGGCTTTTTAAATATGTTTTGTATTGTTTATAATTAGTATCAGGATTTATGAAGACAAAACCTGCTTTTTTCCTTTCCCCTACATTTTATTTTTATTCTCACTTTATCAGCTGGTTTACTTTACACAGTCAGTAGGAAGCCTGCCTGTATATGACTCGTCATTTGTATGCTGTTATTTGTGGTTGTTCTTCAAGTTAAATTTCTACAGATTCATATGACCATATCATTCCAAACCCAAAATGACTAGACCAAATAAGTCAGGGAAATTTTATTGTCTGGTAATTTATCAAGATATCTAATGCTTAAAATGTAGGTAGTTTAAAAACCTGTTGATCGGTTGTTTAGATGAAGGTCAGGTATTGCAACACAAACAATTGGAGACTGTTTCTCTTTGAATGAGTCATAAACATCATTTGCCTGCGGGACCGTCACCCATGACTTATTTCTACCGCTAAATCAGAGCTAAACGAGTGGATTATCTTTTTATTACATCATCTATACCCTATCAACCTTCCGGGTGTTCGTTCTAAAGTCGTTTCGATTTGCAGAATTTTTCGTTATCAACAATCAAGTTTTTGACGTGAAATAATGTCAAGATATCAGAGAATCCTTTACCGTTATCAAGGATTTAGTGCTTCGGAGCACGGTGAAGAAATGATGAATAACCAAGAAGTAAAATTATAGCCACATAAATGAAGAGAGAGTTTATTTGTATAGGGTAGAAATAATAGTCACCAACCTTGATTTTAATTTAAGTAAAAAGCATGAAGTTGGAAGCAAGCACTTTATGGTAATACCCACACTGATGGCAGAATTTCACTCTTGGCAGAACAGTGAGATTTCACTGGTTTTTCATGAAAACACAAAAGTTTTAAGTGGTTTATGGTTCAACATTCAAAAACGTTATAAATCGTTTGCTGTGGTTATGAAGTTCATTCCTCTGTCTTCAAGTTCATAAGCATTGAGGTACTTTTTCATAATTATTACTTTAAATTAATCAGCTTAGTCCCAGAAAGTTATCATATTTCAAAATATTTAATTATGTGGATCGCATATGTTTTAAATTCACAGAAACTTACATTAAATGTTTAATTATAAAAGTGGAACATCTAATCAATTTTCCTTGATTAGTTTCAAACTGATCGCAAGTTTATGGAATAAAAATTAATAGCCTATATATTCTTCGAACGGCTTCAAAGAATATGGTTTGTGTTCTCAACAAATGCTAAATTCCTGAACCTTTGAGGTATAGATTCAAAGTATGACGAGTTCTATCTGTGTCTACTGACAAGAATGTACATTCGTATGTTGTACCCTCTGAGCTCAGTAATTTAATCGCTTTATCAAGTCATATATAAACATAAATATCTTGTTGATCAGATATTATTAGGTTTTCTTATATGGTTTGTATAGGTTTATCAAACCAAAAACTGATGCACTGCATATGTCTCACGTTAATCTGTTCCACCTTTTCTGAATTTTTTACCCACACTGTTTGCCTTCACTTTCAATACCCCAAAGCTGTAGTTACTTTTAGAAGCAATATGTAATCTTGGGTGGTTAGAACTTTACCAGTAATGGTGAAGTGTGATGTTTTATTTTCAAAATTTTAAAATGCCACTCACCTATTTTTAAGGCATGTGATCTTGACAATAGCACAATTTCATATTTAATTACAACATATATCCACTATAGGCATTAAAAATGATGGTCATAACTAAATGCTGGAAACGAAGAATGAGGATGAGTTCATCAAGTAATGGTGTCTTTGTCTACTTAGATATCGTCATAAGGTCATTAAATTAGTTAGTGTGTTTGAAAATATGTAGCACTAAGATCTTTTTTGATGATTAAAATTGAATAAAAACAACCAAATGGTGTAATAGCCAACAGTAATCGGATCTGTTCGAATAACCATCATGATTGATTATCCATAAATTTTATGGATAAAACAGCAGAAATGAACTCAAAGTTCTGTATAGATGTATAAAGTTGTGGCCTCGGTGTAATTAACACTGTTGAGATAGGTGTAGTGATAGATTGATACGAAAATAAAAG